ATGAGCCTTATACATAAGCTGTGAAATATTATAATCAACCAACTCATAAAATTTTAATAATTTTAATTTAAAAAATAATATATTCGAAGGGTGACTGTAATGTTGTCTGGTGATAATTCTTACTGCTCTTTTCTGTAAAATAAAAATAGGATTTGTGATTGGTTTACATGCTTTACCCCAGACTTCAACACAGTAAATAAAGTGTGGAACAATTATTGCTTTATGTAATATAAACAGAGCTTTATCATTGAATAACTCCCTTACGTTGTACAGTACTCCAACAGATTTAGCTATTTTTGTTCTTAAGTAATTCACATGAKCTCTCCATGTCAGTCCTTCATCAGTGATGAAACGTGAATGAATAACAGCTGTGCTGTAAAATATCTGTAGAGCTTTTCATAAAACTTCACCAACATTCAGTCTCATTTAGCTTGARGTTAACAAAGAGTTTCTTCAACTTTCAGAGAAACATTTAAACATAAACATTAATAAATCTGGTCCTGGCTCTTCACTGAAGGATGAAAGCGGAGAAAGAAAAGGTTCGTCTGGAGGAAGAGGCCCGGTTGGAACGGGCGCGGCAGCTGGCAGACATCAAGCAGAAGCTGGAGGAGCGAGAGCTGCTGATCCTGGAGCGACTGAAGCTCGAGGAGGAGGAGGAGCGAGAGAGGAAGGTGCAGCTGCAGAGGAGGAAGAGAGAGGAGAAGGAAAAGGACACTACGAGGTAAAGCTGCGCAGAAGTCATGTGGTTAATTAGGTTCAGGTGGAATTCATGAAGAGTGAACGACAGCATCACCTACAGCTTTTTATCCTCTGCTGACTGAAAAATACACAAAAAAGAGACTTTAACGCACCTGAATGCACGTCGACAAACCCCAGAGTTTCTAGTACAAATGTGACAAAACCAAAGTTTTGATTTTATTTTTTGTTTTTCTTATTTGTGAAACAATACAACCAACATTTATCAGTGTYTTCACCCTGGTCTGCAAGATAATTGTGCTTTGATCTGTGAAAATCAACCAAAAATGTAAAAATCCTGCTGTGTGAACCAGGCTTTATTAAGCCTGAACACCAAGACAAACAGTACAAATTAATGTCAACAAATAAATGGCATGTTAAATAAACAGCAAGTAAAAAAAGTCCAACTTAAAACTAATTACAAAAGCTAAGATCATATTTAAAATGGATTAAAAAAAACCTGAACAACCAGTAACATTCTTTAAAGGAATGTATTGAACTGGTTATCACCACCTCCTCTCTAAGATAACACATTTTGTCTTTTCTTGCTCTCAGTTGCTCTGAGATTGATTGTGAATTATTCCTAAAACCTACTTTTTAAACTAAGTTAATGCCTCGTTGAGAAGAACTCATCACAGGAAGCTGAGTTTTGGTATTAAAAAATAACATTTTATTCATAGATTATAACAGTTTATTGGTCTTTGTAAGAAGAACTGAAGGATGTTGTGTTAACTCTGTTTTAACGTCTAAACAAATGTTTTTGTGTTGCTGAGGCTGATGGATGKGCTGCTGGTGACTCTCTGCAGGTTCATCGAGGTCCTCAGAGCTCAGATTAAGCAGCGTCTCTGTCAGCTGAAGCTGGAGCTGCCTCCTCTCTGCTGCTGCGCCTCGTCCTTCTGGGACTCACACCCCGACACCTGCGCCAACAACTGTGTCTTCCACGACAACCCCAGAGGTGCAGCCTGCACACGCTGACACCTATCTCCCACTCAACACACACACACCCCACCTTTCAACCATTTCATATGGTTTTATCTCTTCCACAGAGTATTTAAAGGCTCTGCGTTCAACACTGGTGAGTTTGGATTTACAGYGAAGGAAGCTGAGGAGCTGCAGTCCAGATTGTGTGAAAGAGCTTGTGTCTTTTTGTCTGTTTGTCTTAAACACAGCATAAAATGTCAAAAATTCAAAGAATCAAGCCTTAAGACCAGACTTAATTTTGTGATTTAATAGTTGCAGGTGTTTCCATCATCAGCTTTTAATAAACCTCATCTGCTTATTAACGACATTACATCTGCTAAAAACACAACTACCTACAACCTTACAAAACTTTAAATATAACTTTTATGATTATAGACTTCAAAAATGTGTTTTATTTATGTTTTTGTAATTACGAATTGCTGTATTTAACATCTTTTTATATTTGTAGTTAGTTTACAAATAAATATTAGCTACTTGTGTCAAATTAAAAATGGGGTTTTTAGGAAAACTGTTTTGTGGGAATTTGTCAGCTTCTGCTGTTCTGTTGACCTACTTCAATGATTTCTTTTAAAGAATAAAAAATAAAGACTACAATATCTATGCGCATTACTGTGTTGATCTATGACCTATCTTTCTTTGTGTTATTGTTTTCATAAGCTACACATTGCCTCATTCTATTGTCCTGCAGTTACGTTTTTCCTGACATGGTATTATCCGTTTATTATTGTGATTATTATATAGTAGTTAAACACTAAGGTTACAAAGTTAATCTCAGGGCTAAAAGTCAGTTAACATTGCTTTAAATCACCTTTTTAAATATAAATTATAATCAGAGTTGTAAAGTAACTACGTACAAATACTTTGTTATTGTACCTAAGTAGAGATTTTGGTTATCTGTACTTGAGTAATTATTTTTCAGCGTACTTTTTACTTTTACTAATTACATTTTTACACAATTATCTGTACTTTCTACTCACTACATTTTTTAAAAAGGTAAGAAGTAGAAAGTTGTTACTCCTGTTTTATTCTGAGTTGTTACTTAATAAAATCCTCTCCTGATAAACTGTGTCTCCTATAGAGTGAATTTAATTGTGTTTGGATGAGAAGTATAAATATATACCATTCTGACACACTATTAGCTTGTACACAACCCATCACAGCTGCACGCTGTTAGAAAATATATTTTTTGGAGAAGTCACCTCCCAATAAWTGTCATTTTGGAAAATCTAACTGCTCACTTTTACTCTTAATAGATTTTGTGTCAGAAATTTACTTTTAATACAAAAAATATCAGATACTTTAAGACTTTTACTTAAGTAATATTTTTAGAGAAGACTAACTTTTACCAAAGTATTCATATGACATGATACTTTTACTCAAGTATAACTTTGAGGTACTTTATACAACACTGATTATAATTAAAACTTATTTGCAAAAATGTTTAGTCAAAACAAAGAAAACAGCGCTTCCTGTACGTGTGACGTCATCACGCAAAGATATGTGCGTCATCGCTGATGGCACGAGGCTCCTCCTGGAAAATCTTGTGGAATAGTGGTATTTTCGTGCTCTTGGCGAAAATACTCATCTATTCATAGCCGTCAGCTAGCTTTTTTCCCCTTTATTTTTCTTTTTTTTTTTWAACCGGTTCGTTCGCTGGAGGTAGGCAGGCTTATCTCGGCAGTGTATATAAACTTAGTAGCGCATTATCATGGAGCTCTGGATGTTAAGGAACATCTCCGAACGAGAAGCCGAGCAGCAGCCGGTTTCTGCWTCTAGCAGCTAACATTAGCTTTCATTTAGCACTTCCCCGGCTTTTTTCTTCTTTTTTTTTTTTAACCTCGACGACTTGGCTCGGGTAGCTTTCTGTGACTGCTGGGTTATATATATTTTTTGTCCAGTTAGCAGCCCTGCGGTGCCCCGACTTATTTATCATTTTGATATCTTCGACATGTCTGGGGTCTAAGTTTMCCTGTGAAGTTTTTAAACCAGGTGTTTTTGTTTTAATCGAACATGAAGTCCCCACTGGCTCCCGGTATTCGACTAATAACGAGTTTTTCTCGGGATAGTTGGTATGTTGAACTCTATATTCAGATTGTAAATCGAGCTGTTGTAACATATCTCCCTGCTGTAAATAATTTACTCCTCCAGGTCGATAAACATGGATTATATTAACCCATTAAATTATTGTCTAACCTGTTACAAACTGGTAATTACTGATTTTAATATGCTTTCAGGCATTTTTAAAAGATGCCTTTTATATTTTAGTTAAATTTCGTGTTCTGTCCAACATTTAAGACATTTGCTAAAACATATCTGATCCTTAAATCCTGGTCATTGACTATTTTTAGGAGAGTTACTTAATTTAAGGTAATTTTTTTTTATTATCAGCAAAAAAATAATCAACAAACAGGCTGCACACTTATTGTTTTAAATATTGTAAACATTAAATGTATTACTTTCCTCAAAATGAATAAAAAAACAAATAAGTGACGCTTAATGAGATAAATTAGTTTTCTGATTTATTCCGCAGATTATCTACCACATTATTAAAAAACTGGCCATGGAAAGTAGAAGTTCAAATATCACTGCAAATCATTTGTTTTATTAAAGCCACAATAGCTGACAAAGTGTGATTTCCCACAGTTTTTAATTAGGGTTTTTATGCAGTTTCTACTTCATTAAATGGTTGTTTGCGGTTTAACGCAACACAAACCCATCAGGGTTTTTGTATAAACTGTTAGGCAAGGAACAATTGTTTTCTGTGTGCATGGATGGTCAAATGCAGATTGTGTTGTGAGATTTTTTGTGTATATAAATACAGTCCATTTACCAGTGGTTGTATAGAAGAAACACATCACCACCAATGAACACCTAAATCTTAAACACACATCTAATATTCAGTTCATTTAAGAGTCTATRTTGTTTCAACCTTGATTTATTTTCTGTACTTTAAGCTTTTAAAAAACCTAAGTTTGAATATGTTTCATATATTCCTAATTAATCGCTCCATCACCCTAAAGCTCACAGGTGATTCTGATGTTAATTTAATGAAGATGTTTTGTGTGTGTGACGTTTCTGTAGATGATCTGGAAATTGTCCTTATCCTTTAGTGAAACTTTAATCAGTACAACTTTGACATTTAGCTGTAAACATTACAAACAGGTCGTCCTCAACAAACTGATCTTTTATCATTCGTGTTAACGAAACACTCATTGTGCTTCCAGCTTTTCTTGTATTTGTTTTGTTTTGAACAATTCATGAAGGTTTTTCTTATAATCTTAAGTTATACATAGTATTTTTTAAAATTTTTCCCCATAAAAATCTAAACTGAATGCCTGTGGTCAGTATTTGCATCATCAAGTTGACTTTCAAGTTCTCGTTTTTTTTTTTCCTTTTACAGGTATCGTGGTTTCATCCTCTTCCTCACGTTCCTCTTCTACACAGCCTACCATCTGTCACGGAAACCCATCAGCATTGTTAAGGTGACTAAACCAAAATGTTTTGTTTGTACTCTAAAAAGTAAAAAAAAAAAGGGCAAAAATCACAAACTGGAAAGCAAATGTTTTTAAAACATTATGAAAACATTTAGTGCAGATCCTCCCCTCTCACCATAAAAGTATCAAAGTCTTTGCAG